TTCAAGTAGAAAATAAGGTTGACGGAAACACGGGGACTGAGCCTACCTGATGGGCCCCAAGAAGGGCGAAACCGGTCGCGGGCTGTCGAAGAGTTTTCAGCCACTTTGTGAGTAGTTAACTTTGTGAAAATATACTGTTGTGAAAAACGTTCTTCATGAGTGAAGCTCAACTGATGGTCACGTGTGTTTTTCAGACCGTTCGTTGCTGCTGAATTCGGTATTTGTGTTAGTGCAGCACATTTATGTATGTATTATAACTGCACTTCTTAGAAGAGTAAATCGAAGTGGTTTTGGGCACTGGGAGGGGTGTACAAACCTCTCTGCCTGCAAAAAGATTAGGATGCAATTTCCTGCACTCAGCCTCAAAGAAATAAAGCAATCAGATTATTGTATGTTTGGCCACAAACTTCTAGGCTAAAACTGCCTGAAAATCTATCCTGAATCAAATAAACACCTAGCTAGATACCACAGTAAAAGATGATCGTCCTAATGAGACCAGCGGTGGAGAAAGATGTATTTGACCTCTACTAGGAGTGACCCTATTTTGAGGGGATCGCCTTCGATGTTGTGTCTGATTTGGAAGGATATCATGCACTCCTCGTGAAGCCAACTATGTTTGGGAGATTTACCACTTCATTTTTTTAAAGCTTAGAATATCAATAAAATCCACTTAGGTGTTGAAGCATGTGCCAGTATAAATACCTAACCAACGATCTATGTATTCTCTACCAGAACAAGAAAAATTTAAATATTTTGTACCTCGACGTGAGTTTTAGGGCAAAACTCGGATTTACTATGATTTGGCAGTAATGTACCCAGGAATTTCTGGGCCGTACACTAAAACCTTCATCAGATAATGGTAAATGTTGAAACATCGGATAAATGTTTTGGGTTTGTCCACTCTCTTGATGTTCACTATCTGACTAGGTGCTGATGAACATGTTAGGCGACAAGGATACTTCGTTCGCGAAGCACTCACATATGCATCCTTTCGTGTGTATCCCCAGGTCCATACTGCAAATGATAACGCAGGCGAGTCTCTCGAAAGAACCAAATTAGTTTGCAAATGATTGTACATTCGCTAATTTCGTGTAATTTGGTTTCAAGTATAGCATAAGACTGACGGAACCCCGGGGACTGCGCCTACCTGATGAGCCCCAAGAAGGGCGAAACCGGTCGTGGGCTGTCGATAGATTTTCAGCAACCTTATGAGTAGTACACTACAAAGATGACGCAGGGTTCTTCGATGAGACTCAAACTCAAAAACCCCTCTTGTCGGGCGAGTTTGATAGTGGGCTTATACAGGCAGTCTGATCCATTGTAGAAGTCACACAGGGCTCACCAATGAAACTGGAAGAGTAACTATTGATTCACCGGATTGAGCGGTACCCAATCAAGACAAAAGCCAAGTGTACATTTCCGGCGCGGGACAGCGTTTGCTCATTTAGTAAATGCACGGCAACCTGTCTTTGAGGCATTCGAAGATCGTTGGTCGTTGAATGGTTTATTGTGATTTTTAGCCTGCTCGCATTGAATAAGTTATGGAAAACGGTGACTAAGCAGTGCGTAAATACCTGACAGGATTCACCGCTCATATACGGAATGCTAACAGATAGTTCCTTCTTCAAACTAATCAAACAACCTTGCATTTTGACTTCAGTCGAAGTTAATCCGGATGGATATTTTCACAAAACAGATCCTTAAAGGATTCAGGTGCCAACTGTAGGCATTCAATATAATAAATTCTGTAGGTCCACTGGTTCAGGACTTTGATTAAAGTTCATTTCCAATGCAATAGCGGCCATACGACGAAAACTCCGGGGCGTTTAACTATTGTCGCTGCGCGATGGAAAATATTCAATGAACGCGTTCAAGAGAACTCGAAAGAACATCGGAGGTTAATCCCCTTCCACCTACTATTACTTCGTTCTTACTGTCTAAGTTAGAGCCCAGATTCGGGGGTTTCGGATTACCTTCCTCTCTATAAAGCATTCCTTACCCATAATAACATTTTCTTATGGATCACAGGTCTATTTTTGTGGAACTACAGTATTTAGAAAATAGTTACACCCGATCACCCACGATACATTTTTGCTTTGTGAAGAAGCGTCTAGAGGAATGTTGAGGGTGAACCTGTTGCTGAATATCCAAATGACATAGGAAACAAAGGAGCCAACTAGGAAATTTGTTAGTCTGCAAAAGGTATCGCAACAACCGTATGCAATCAGTCAAATAAATCACAAATTCTACTCGTAGTGCACTACTCATAAGGTTGCTGAAAATTCGTCGACAGCCTACGACCGTTTTCGCCCTTCTTGGGGTTTCACCAGGTAGCGCGGTCTCCGAGTTTTCGTCAACATTATGTTCCACTTGAAACCAAATTGCCTGGAAATATCGCAAACGAGAGATTCACCTGGGTTCCAACTGAGTCTCTCGGAAAAGCAAATTAGTTTACAAATGAGCGTATTTCGTGAAAAACAAAGTCATTTATCGTGATATAGAATGCGAGCTAGCAATGAAGATGAATATGTGAAAGGGGTCTTCAAACATCTAAATTTTCGCCCTAGCAACAAATTCCTCCGGGCATGAGAAAGTTGAAAGAATTGCTGGAGTTGCAACATAGTAGTCATGTGTTTCCTATCGGTCATGTAAGACCAAGTTGTAATGCTGTATCGAGCCGAAGCCCATGTTACCTAAGAGCCTATCAGACATTCCATGAAATGAAAACGCACGACTTCATATACTACTCATAAGGTTGCTGAAAATTTTTCGAATGTCCACGAGTAGTTTTTCCCTTCTTGGGGCTCATCAACTAAGCGCATTCCCCAAGTTTCCGCCAACCTTTTGTTCTACGTCAACCCAAGTTGCACAAAACTAGCGAAATACACTCACTTGCAAACAAATTTAGTTTTGCGGGAGACTCACTTTGAACCCAGCCTAATCTCTCGTTTATGATGCTTTCAAGCAGCTGAATGTGCTGCATCAGGCCGTCTCATGATTTATTCTGTACAATATTCGATATATCATGATACGTAAATACACGTAATACATTACTTATAAGGTTGCTGAAAATTTTTCGGCAACTCACGACCGGTTCCCCCTTCCAGCTTGGTTTCAGGTGACTATCCCACAAAACCAAATCTGTTTGCAAATAAGTGTTATTCTCTAAAGTGCAAGATCCCTTTTTAATGCAACACGTCATTTCCAAGATAGGTAGGGATCCACTCTGTGAGTGGTGAAACAGGTTTTAACCTTTATAATCTTCTTACGAGCAGAAGAAGGAAAAGAGATGATGTGTAACACACTACTCATCAGGTTTTTGCCATCTCTCCGATGTAGAGAGGCAGTCGTATTCACTTGAGTTTCCCATCAAAGCCTTGGTGGTGAAAAACCGGCGAGAGAATGAACTATCCACTTATCGCACTTCAATTACGGTTAACTACGACCGTGTTGTATATCACAGCATCAATTGATTCTAATAATGGTGAATCGAAAACCCAGTTATACTGCCTTCTAGTGGGCTTAAAAGAGCTCTGAGGACTTCTAACGACCCACTGAGACTAACAAAGAGACATTGGAGAGCATAAGTAGTAATTCAAGTAAGTACATCACCTGCAAATTTTGGTTTTGAACTTTGAGTCAGGCAGCCTGGGTAGTAAACCAATGAGAGAAACGAGCAACTTAACTGTGCTTTTATGGGCTTTCAAACCACGGGGAGGATTTTTTGTTTTCCGCTGTAAGTGGCTGTATTTCCTCACCGTCTGCGCCTCAAAAACGTGAGCATGTGTTCCCGGAAAAAGCTCTAACACGGCCGGTCTGCCTGCATTCAGTAATCTGATAGTTTCGTGTGACGAATGACCGAATATCGAAGTCATGGATAGACGACACCAACGTGTGCAGTAAACATGACCTGGAAAAGTTTTTTTTTACTTTTTGGCTCTACACTGTGATTATAGTGCACATGTTTTGAAGGACGGATGTGACTGAGTGTACGAACAATCAAACTGCATGCTAATTATCTCACGGTGTGCGTCCGAACTGCAGTGCATAGTTCCGATATTTTGTCAGCAGAATTTGATTAAGCTTGGATACAGTATGGTCTGACGTACGACTCCTGATGGAATGCAAATAGGACTATCTCCGTATTGACCGATTTGTCTGAATCACTGCAGGTTTCTCTTAGTAAGGTATGAACTTGACATGTGTAGGGTAAATGACTTTTTGAGCTGATGTTTCTCATGTAGAGGTAGCATGTAGAGGTCAGTCCCTAAAACGAGGGGATAGAAAAATCGGTCTTCCAGTAGAATCAAGTGGTGGCTTTTCTGTAGCCCTGTGAGGACACTCTATGTGTGCCTGCGCAGCATTTGGAGAGGTCACGGTCTTCCCTAGTGTGTCATCCCAGTACATTACTCGAGGTCCGTTAATTACGTGCGCCATATCTACTATCTGCTCCGAGGAATTAGGAAAACAAACCATTTTGAGGTATCTAAGGCCAGATTTTTTCAAACTTTAAAATGATGAGAATATGACTTTACACTAACTTACCTTGGAAATTGTTTTATGACACTCTCCTGTGAAATTACCGCATTTTTTCTGTAGAACTCGTGATATGAATACCTAAATTTGTATGTATTTGGGTCCTGTATCTGAGATTATTTGGTTCAGAGCTTTGTGATACGCTAAAGTATCGGCGTCGGTGAAAAAAGACTGTCTCATGAATTGTCCTCTATTTTGTATGCTCAGTGATGATCTGATGCCACGAAGGTTTTGGGTACGATGCACATAAAACATCTGACTGAGAGAATAGGTCGATGAATACCTGGAATGATTTTTTTCTGTCAGCTACAATGCGCATGAGTTACTTGCACAAAAAGTAATCGTAAGTGTTTGACCAAAAGTCATCTAGCAGGAAAAATTTCATACTAAATATTAGAACAGAACTACGTCTAGGTAATTCCTTCGTCACGCACACGTCTATCTGCGCGTTAGTTTCGCTTCACACCAAACCACCTGTTGCTACTTCAAGTCACAACCTACTACGGTGTACAACCTTCACTAAACCTGTCATCTAACGCACACTTGATTCGTGTAATACATCGCCTCAACGGATCACTTCAGTGGATCAGAGTGACGTATAAACACGTTTTATCAGCAGTCCAAACAGCGGTCATGGGGGCCCAAAATCGCCTGCTTTGGGGCAAAGTGGGGTCCATAAACGTCTTGCAAGTGTATTGCAAATGTACTGTGAAGCGAGAGTCGCCAACTATGACGGGACTTAACTTCATAACGGTTTGGGTACCTCTGTGACTTGGTGAACCAAGTCGGAGGTTCTCCATGTCACACTCCTGTTTCATCAGGTTGATCAGTTAACAAAGTTCAAATCAGCACCCTCATGAACCTCAAAATTTGGGTTGGGAGAGAGGTGTCCACAAATCTCTCACTGTATTGGTTTCATGCCGACCTAACTGCATCGTGGTCAGACAGCTTTATGTGGGGACCCTGATAATTCTTTAGTCTGGGTTTGGATTCTGACAGCATCATGGCCTACATACAATACCAGTAATTTCATGCCACATCGGCCGCCGCATGTTTCCATCAGTTTGGTCGCTTTCTTGGGACACAGAACAATAAGGGTGAGTGAAGACGGCCTCCTAGTTCCCCCTCCTTCTTGTTCCATTTTTACCATCATTATTTCAAATACTGCACCCTAGAAAACTTCAGTCCTGCGCCAAAAAAGCGATAAATGCACACCACCGCTCGCGCCTACTGCTTCATGTTCACTTCCCAGACATCGTTCCTACTTTTTTATTTCAACAAGCAAATCAGGTTTACAATGTATTCGTTAGCTGGACGCTACCGACTACAAACCCCAGAAGATTGTGCATCTGATGCCGTGGGTTACGTCAGTGTTCATATAACTCTCAGCCCCCTAGCTGAGGATTTCTCACTCCACTGAATCTCGGTAATTAAGTGCCTTCCTACTGCCCGTTTGCCAACTTACATATGAACTACTACCCGTTGAAATAACGTTTCTTTGAGTATAGTTTCTTGATGCACACCAGTAAACTGCAGCTGTGAAAAGGTGAAGGGTAATTTTAATGTAATTTGTTCGTGTGGCTGATGGCTGATGACGATGATGATGATACTGATGATGAACATGGTGATGATGATGATGATGATGATGATGATGATGATGAGAATGAGGATGAGGATGAGGATGATAGTATCTGAGGACAGAGGTAACCGTATTCTATACCGGTATTTTGTTTGCGCATCCTATAATCCATTGAAAGGCTATTTTGGTCGAGTAGTTCATGGAAATTGGTTTCGGTGATTGTTTTCGAGCTGATAAGACGGTTTTCAGCCAATATGAGTCAAGAAAACAGAGCAGATTAGAAAATTTGCGGCATTTTAGCGCAGTGATTTCTCACCCACACTCTGGTCACATACATTGCTGGGTGATTAAAACTTTATATCTGAAGTTCTATTTGTCGGTTGGTAATGTACAAAGTGCCTTAGCCAGGTTTTCCTTCACCAGCCCTTCCAGCCTTCCGTCAATTCTACCAATGAGTGAAATACCTGGTTGGGAAACCTGAGGTTGGCGTTTTGATCTGCACTAAAGGCATAACTGATGTGTCTGTCCAAGCACTTACTGGGACTGGAGTATAGGTTGGGCGCATAGCCAAGCTTAAATCCGATTAAAAAAGACTTGAAACGTGACCGTTGGTTTAAAGAAATTTTTGGTATGCTTCTTTGGTTCTGCAACTTTCACATTTTAGCCACTCGTTCTACGGAGATTATTAAAGAGACGTTTAGGACAGTAGTTTGATTACAGCAAACTTCTCAAGATATCAATCTATTTGGCGAATCTCCACAGAACGAAAGCGGATTTTAGTCTACGGAATAAGATCTGATCTATGGCCAACAGCATGTCGAGTCTCGGCAGTAATTGGTCCGCTTAGCTTTTGATAAACAAGGAGAAACGGGTTAAGTTTTTCCACTCAGTTTTATATCTTCTGTCACGAGCCCAGTGGCACCAAAAGTGTTTTTTACAAAGCTAGTTGTGGAATGCCGATTTCCGTTCACTGCTTCAGTTTCTTCAAAATAGNAATATCACTCCAAAATAACCAGCGTAACGGAAAAATCGATTTTAACGTAACTGATTCCTTAATATAAAACTCCACTGGGTCTGTGAACAGTTTCGGCAACTGGGGCATAGGAGTAAAAAATGCTTGTAAGTTAGACGTTTAGTAAGACCTACTTATAGGAAAACTTGCAGGCATTTAGTCGACCGGCTTTAGAAACAAATGTACCTTCCGATCCAACAAAATCATACTGCTAAGCAAACTCCGTTATCTTCGTAGGTGCTGCTTTTTTGGCCGATATACTCAAAATATGAGCGGGTACTCTCTGAGAACGAATAATATCTGGAGGATGCTTGATTCATAGCTCTGTAGATGAGTTTCCGTAATTCTTAACTGCCCAAGAACCGTGAAGGCAACCGGTACTCTGAACACTAATTTATTTCTTACAATGATTAACAAATTCAGTCACCCTGCAAAACGTAGATACACATCACAAGTTTTGATGCTATCTGGCTCCTCGTACAGTTCTTCCTCAAACAGAAAGACTTGTTACTAATGACATGGAATCAAAGTCTGCTGACTATCTTATGTGGAACTCAGCTGATCCGCACACATCCGTACGAATTTCTTTTTTGGCTAGCTTCCTTGTTTTCAGTTAGTTTAGCGTAAAATCGAACGCTAACGCCTGCCATGCCACCCTAAGGAATCACGAGGACTGCAATATTGACAGTTTGTCCAAGCCTAGACAGGAGTAGTTGAGGTGCCTTGTTTGGTTTGGGACCGCGGCTTTCCGGCCGAGTTGATAAATGTGGAAAGAAAACAAAACTCGAGAAAAACACTCATTTGCAAATCAATTCGGTTTTCACTGGAGACTCAATTGAATCTCTCGTTTATGATGTTCTCCAGCTGTATGTGCTGCACCCAGGCCGCCTCATGATTCAGTCGGTACGATATTCGAGATATCGCAGTATATTTTCATAAAGGAAACTACTCACAAAGTTGCTGAAAACTCTTCGACAGCCCACAACCGGTTTCGCCCTTCTTGAGGCTCATCAAGTAGGTGCAGTCCCCAAGTTTCCGTCAACCTTATGAAAATATACTGCGATATCTTGAATATCGTGCCAACTCAGTTGGGGGATATCATTAACGAGAGATTCAATTGAGTCTCCCGCGAAAACCAAATTGATTTGCAAATAAGTGTATTTCTCTAAAACAGTCCAATTTAGGTTCAAGTAGATCATAGGGATGACGGAAACTCGGGGACTGCGCCTACCTGCTGGGCCCCAAGAAGGGTGAAACCGGTCGTGGGCTGTCGATGAGTTTTCAGCCACCTTGTGAGTAGTTTCCTTTATGAAAACAGAGCTCGTAAATGACGGCGCACTGTGAGGGCGGGACGGATGTACCCTTGCGCTTATGACGTGATTCTGACAAAGTCCATCATTTATAACGAGCCTAACTGTTCCACTCATCCATGATGTCTCACGGGATAATCAATACTGTTTCAAGGAAACCCGTAGCAGGTATCTACTGACAGAGAACCTCAGACACCGGGTGCTGTCCAATTTACGCTGATATTCGGGCTTTCGTCGGTCACCACAACGTGTTCGTGTTTACGTGAAGTGTTCAACTTCAAATTCAAATTTGCCAACTTTGTAATGTTTAGACTAGTCGTCAGGTGCATGAGAGTGACCTGGACACTATGGGTCTAGCACAGCACTCGTGGGAGTTTGTCGAACAAAACATGCGCGTTTATGTGTCGGTGTACGCATACAACTTTGTACGTACACACAGAATACTAGTCCGAAAATGCGCACCTAGTTCTACAACTGAGATTGAACTGTGATGCTCGACTACCCAGATGGTCAGTGTATAGTCGGCTAGAAAAGCCTACACGGTGGATGCCTGGCTGCGCGTCAATTAAATTCTAGGAATGATGTTATACGGCAGATCAATATATCTGTTAGTCGATACAGCATCGTTTTGTTTGTGGACTTGTCAATTAAAACCAGAATTCATCGTCAAGTGGGAGGTACGCGATGACGGTCGGTTCAAGTTTCTTTCCAATGGAAACCTGCAACCAGCGCTAATGGCTCAGTTGGTAAATTGGGCAACCTCAGAGTTATGCTAAACCGATTAGTGACTAACATGCACACACTTTGATTACCTTGTTCATTCTGGTTCTCTGTTTCACACAGTTTTCACTCACATGATACTTTACATGATACAAAAGGAAATTGACCGCTACGTGAAAAAGTGGAAGTATATTTTTCTTTTCAGGAGTCTCGTCGTTCGTCGGGACTATTGAGAAACATCCTTGTGGCTTATCTTTGTAATGTACTACTCATAAGGTTGATGGAAATACACCGACAGCCCACAATCGGTTTCGCCCTTCCTGGGGCTTATCAAATAGGCGCAGTCCCCGGGGTTCCAAGTTCAACTGGAAACCTAATTTCACGAAATTAGCGAATATACACTCATTTGTAAAATAATATGGGTTCCAGGTGAGTCTCTCGAAAAACTAACTTAGTTTATCAGGCCTTCGAAATTATTCACCTTCCATTGTTCCGGTAGGACTTGTAGTTCAAATTTACATTTCGGTGATAGTGAAATTAAAAATTGGTTTGAAGAGAGTGAAAGAAGGCGTCTATTTTTTGGAGGGCCTGCGCTGTGGAGGTGAAAAAAGCATTTAAAACCATCTGTTTAACATTGAGGAACCTATTCATAAAGGAAAACTTAGGGGGTTCCATAAAGAAATCAGTTGTGAACGGGTGATACCTACGGGTCTGATATTCTACCTAATAATGTTCGACGGAGATAACCTCAACTTTGAAGTGAGATTGTATTGTAACAGTGGCATGTCAACAGCGTTACGCCTAAATTCTTCAGCTAATCTGTATGCTCATCAGCATGTACAGTGTTAGCAAAATACACTCATTTGCAAACTAATTTGTTTTTTCGAGAGACTAACCTGAGCTCGAGTAGAACATAAGGTTAACGGAAACTCGGGAAATGCGCCTAGTTGGTGAGCCCCAAGAAGGGCGAAACCGGTCGTGGGTTGTCGAAGAATTTCCAGCAACCCTATGAGTAGTGTATTATGTCTATATAGGCACAACGTTCTTTTGATAATCCAATGTTGCACGACCTTAAGCAAAACAAACAGGCTGTGATCACACACACACACACAATACATTACGTGCTGAAAACGGTCCAACAAGATTTTCCCTTCTTTAGACCCTTCACATAGGCACTGTTTCCTGGTTTTCATCATCCAATTATGAGCAATCGGGCTATTCACATATCTGCAAATGTGTTTTTCAGTTTGAACCTAAAGTTGACGAAGGGTACTGCGTCTATTCGGTAAGGGTGGACCCCCTATTGTGCGCTCTAAATGTTTCAGTAAACCTGCGAGTAGTATATTGTTTCAACAAAGCATACTGTCGTATTTCATTTATCGTCCAGAGTGAAAAGTAAAACAGCCTTTCTACACCATATTTAGCTAGAAATAATATAAAACAATAGAAATGTTTGAGTCCTAAGCAATTTTTTTCTGAAACTTGGCGTATTCCGTCGAAGTCGATACCAACCGCTAGTAGCCTAGATCTGTAATTCTTAACTCAACTTGTACAGCTTTTGGTGATGGGTACCGCGTCTTTAATGGTTTTATCTGTACTAGGACAGTTATCCTTGGACAGAGTGATGGGATACTTCAAAATAGCAAGAAACTGGTTCAAACCTTCTGCCCTATCAAAAACTCAACTTTGTTCTTTCGTGCACAACTAATGGATTGAGGAATGTGCGGTTGCTAATTCATCCGAAATTGAAATAAGACTGGTAGCCCACTGCAACTAGTTGCGAGGTACCGTGATACAAAGTCCAAGTTGATGGGTGCTTGGTAAATGTGTCATTCAGACCTCCCGTCTTATGGAGTTCACTTGGCAAAATAATTTTATTTATTCAATGAATAGTTTCATCTGACGAGGCGGCAAATCGGACTCACTCCATGCGACTGTCGTGTCGACATTCCACCTGTCTGTCGGTTGCATTTCAGTCTCCTCGAGGCACAATGCCGTAAACACTGGGATCGACTTCCTCAGGTCTCGAAGGACGTTCTATTTAAGCCACCAATATCGAAGTTACTTTGGTGCACGTAGATAGTCCTGAAGTTTCGTCACGGATCAGAGACTAAATGTAGCTCATCGTGCGCCCAAATCTGATCGTCTCACTTTGATCTCGAATGCTCGTCTTAGGTGGCTAGATACTACAGGTTTTTTTAATTCAGATTAATTCACATCTACCGAAGGTCATGCAAGATGGCCGACATTTCAAAAGATAATCAGACAGTAATCAATCAGACGTTAGGTAGGACCAGGAAATTCAAACTAACTAGCTAGGCCTTTTGCAGTTTTTCTATGAATCTAATCTGTTTCTTGTGATAAACAGCGTTGAGTGCATCGAGTGCCGCCATATGCCAGCATTTAAACTATTCGGTTACTTCGTTCCTCCAACATGAGGAATTTGGCCAAATTCACTCATTTGAAAACAAATTTGGTTTTGCGAGAGACTTACCTGGGACCTAGCTGAATCTCTGGTTCGTGATGTTTCCAGGCAACTGAATGTGCTGCACCAGGCCGCTTCATGTTTCAGTCGCTACGATATTAAAGATATCGTGATAGATGAATATCTTTGTAATGTGATATCTCATTTCCGAATGCACTACTTATAAGGTTGCTGAAAATTTGTCGACAGCCCGCAACCGGTTTCGCCCTCCTTGTGGCTCATCAGGTAGGCGCAGTCCCCGAGTTTCCGTCAACCTTATTTTCTACTTGAAACCAATTTGGCATAGTAGTTCCGCGTGGATCGAAGCTGCTTGGAAGCGTTTTCTTGCTACAGAAGTTGCCCTTTCGGATCCACTAAGCGTGCGCCAATATGTCACTCCAGATGTTACACTGAATTTGTAGCCAAATGAGATTCTTCCCCCACTGGGCAGCTACCGTCGACTAGTCAAAGTTATCTTGCCAGGAATATCGTCAAAAAAGAGAGTGATGTGGATAGGGCCCTAAACTTGCCAGAATATGAATTGCATTCAAACTGCCCTCTATCGGGTTTACTCTGTATGGATTGCCAATCACATCACCAATATCTCATGTCGCCATATAATGACAATATTTGCCTGAAGAATCTAAAATCCCACGTTTAGCTCACTTAGAATATGGGCTCGAGTGACAAAAATGTCCTAGTACATAGAATTATGCAGATTAATGATGTTTTATTAACACATGAGCATTATTCAACGCAGTACAATAGGGTGTCAATATTTACACTCGCCAATGACAATTCTCAAGAACAATTTCCAACGTTTATCTTTGTAATGTACTACTCATAAGGTTGCCGAGAGTCCATCGATATCTCGAATATCGTAGCGACTGGTGCAGCACATTTGGTTGCCTGAGAACATCACAAACGAGAGATTCAGCTGGGTTCCAGGTAAGTCTCTCGAAAAACCAAATTAGTTTGCAAATGAGTGTATATTCGCTAATTTCCAAAGTTGTTTAGGACCGTTGTGGCAGTGGTGGCAAAACTCCACTTTTTCACACAAGAGGGTGGCCAAATTTAGCGGATTGGTTGCTTTGTATTGATCAGATTCCCGTGTCTCAGAAATTGCTGGGGTTTTCAGCTAGCTGTCAGCCTTGCGCTGACCACAGATTCAAGTGTTATTGACTGGTTAGGCGCATTTCTAATGAATCCAGATGATAGCTGTGGTGTGCTCACTAGTGAGTCATTCAATGACTATATTCGTCAGACAGCATGGTTTACGCAGGTAGCTGTCATGGCCAAACTTCAGTGTTCCAGGAAATTTGTTTTTCAGCTTTCTCTGTTGGTGGCAATCGGTGTGCGCTGCGACTTTATGACTCCGTCCGACGGTAGCATCGACTATCGGTTTTCACCATCTGTGCCGAATCTAATCACATCTGCGTGGTACCGGATGTCTTCACGTGCTGCTTCGACTACACACTGCTGGAGACCATGTGAGTCGGGAGGGTCACGCGCCTGTATCATACTACCCGGATCCCATGTGCTTTGATGCGGACAATGTCAAGGCCTCACAGTGAATGCTGTCAGACAGCAAAACACAGAGTTGTCATGGGAAAGATTAGATTTCCCAGAAAACTCATTTCACTGAACAATGGCTTGCGCACCGAATGAAACTATTTACTGCTGTGTTAAGACTGTGGTCGGTATATCGGCTATTGAAGGTGGATTCCTTTGTTACCGCTAAAAGTCCGGCAAATGAGATGAAGCAATTGTTGAAAACGCGGCTCACTTGAAGAATACCGTAAACGGGAATCCCGGCTGGTGTTCAACTGAGCCTCCCGTTACAATCAACTGGGTGTTCGGACGAGTGTATTTGGAGAAACATTTATTCCTATTCGCGTTATCTGCCAAACAAATCACTCTGAGTTGTGTTTTTTGTCTATCAATCACATGAAAGTGATGAAGTTTCATTAGGTTAGACTAAAATGGACATAATTCAAGTTTAAACGCTTGTGGATCGTCAGGTAGGCGTAATCCCAGATTTTCCATCTACTGAACCTCGAATCAGTGTTTTTCGTGGAAATGGAAAATGGGGTTGCCTGGTGCAAAATATTCGGTTGCTTAAGAAGACCGTTAGCGAACGATTCAGCTTGGTTTCAGACAAGCCAAAACGGGTGACGGAAGGATATGCAGATGAATGTATTTCGCTAAATTCTAACTTTCTCAAGTGGAATCCATACCCCCTGTCTGCATGTCCAAAACGCCTCGGTCTTTTTCAAAATTCGAAATGTGACGTGGCTTAAATGTGGAACATCCAACTTTCGATTTACAAAACACACGGGAAAGTTGGGAGATGAACTCGTAAAACAGGGAACCAGTAATTTGGGCAGCTGCAAGTGCTCCGATAAAAATCCATACTTTTCGTGATAATCGGATCTTGATAGACTCGGGAACGTAACAGTCCACCTATGTACAGTGTTGAGATCCATCAGATTACGCCTGCTTGCGTCCGCCGAGAAATGAAATATTTTTTGCGACCACATGGAGGGTGAAATCCTCATTCAGATTCTTGATCCCAAAAGAGCTTTGTCCCCAGGCGCACACTTTAGTAGATTACACTGTTCCTGGAAAACACCAGGTTTGTTGGAGGCATCCATCAAGTGAATTCTATGCTTTCAAGCCCATTTTTATCCGGTGGTGTTGTGTACCTTTTGGACTATTGTTATCATAATTACACTGTCCTGGAAAACACCAGTTTTGTTGGAGGCATCCATCAAGTGAATTTTATGCTTTCATGCCCATTTTTATCCGGTGGTGTTATGTACATTTTGGACTATTGTTATCATAGTCACATCACTCTCGTTTGAACGGCCGTCCTCCTGTCCTGGCGTAGTTATTCCGGTGAGTCCACACCAAAGAGAAGCACTGGATTCGAGTTCCGCTCTTAGTAGAGCTCATCAGCAGTGCATATTCAATGGCCGTGCCGGGATAGGAACCCCGGACATCTGACATGCGAGGCGAGCGTGTAACCACTACTCCACCAACGTACGTTGGGCGCGCCTGAATTTTCACGTCTGAACAGGCGAACGTGTTCACACTTGAGCGATGTGATTGATGTGCCCGACTAACCGAACAACGACCCAGTAACTGTCCTGGTTGTGACGATCGATTGACCCGTCGGTCAGGACTTCCCAGTCAGGCAGCGTGACACGCTTGAAAACCCACTAGGAAACTTTCTGGTTGCAGTTTTGGGCCTTTGCAGGATAGGTATTATGTTCATATGGATAAATGAATTATGGTCTGCTATTTTCTTTCTTAATGGGCTCACTGTGTGAGAATCTTACAGGCACATCAACGCTATTCCGGACAACTGAAGTATAGACCACCAAAAACTGCGATCCCGCACACGGTATTTGGAAATTCATCAATCTTGTGGTTGATCAAATTATACGCGCATCGATTTGTCGAGTCTGGCCTCGTGACAGAGGCACTTTTGGTCAGCCCTCGTAATGAAAACATCCACTGAATTTATGCATCTAAGCCATGAAATAGGTGCTTTCTTGGGGTATTTCGCCAAACAAGGTTATAACTCTGACCTGTTTGAGCCTGTCGTGGAAAGTCTGTCAAATTCTTTTTTCTCCCAAAATTGTTTCTTGAATGATGTTCCTTTATTCCGCACTTTCAAAGATTAGTGTGGCTCATTTCGCCTTTTGTCTAGTTTATTTTACACTGTTCGTCCATTCTGCATAAAACTGAGGTAGTCATCTAGGGAAATGTCTCTCCTACTACTGTGGTACTCAAATTACCGAATTTCCACAACGTCCAGGTATGCATCCGCAATGTGGACTGTAGCATCTAAGCTAAACAAGGACCTGATCATGATTGCGTCTACATACTGTGTAACCTCATAGTCGATTGCGTTGCCTGTGGTTGTGACTTCAAACATTTTCATCCCCCTCTATTCTATGTCCAATACCATCCAGTCGTGTGATTTTTGCAACCTTCAAGCTATTTTTTCATAAATCGCCCTTTGTGAGTAGCCCATACTTTCTTGGCGGGCGCATGAAAAGATTTTTATTGATCCTTATTTGCACTAAAAGTTCTAAGATAATCCAAAACGGTTGTTACATCATTGCCGATGCCCCTCTTGTTCTGATTCGGTCGTATATTTCTATTCATTCGCTGACTAACTGACCGATGACCACGTTGGAATGGCTCCTTATTCGTCTACTTCATGAAGGAGTGTTGGTTTTCTGACTAACAAGCATTTTCACACAGAAATCGTTAAAAATTAAATGCCGACCCGAGTAAACTCCAGGAAAACCAGTTCCACTTGTAGTTACAGTCATTAGGCAATCAATAACAAACGATAGAATGAAGGACGCCAATCAACCGTTGACAAAAGGGCGGGTCCCACTAAAACGACTGACGTGCGCTGTCTTTGTGCTTTACATCAGAACGGAGAATGACCTACACCGTGTTGATCTCTATCTTGTCATTGAATCTTTTCTTCTTATCTGCAGATGATGACTTCGCATAGAGCAAAAGGACTATATGAAACGAAGACTAACTGGATTCTTTCCGCACTGTCTTATGAATCAACAGTGACACTGGCCCACATACCTATCCCATTTTATTGTCATTCTGTTGTTGACAGGTGCTCTCAGAAGTTGTGTAATCGTATAACGTCACTTGGTCTGTATATTCATCCAGTTGTTCTGATCTAGTTATTCTGATTAGATTACAGGCAAAAACGGGGCTCCACTTTCTTTCTTATTTGAGTTGATCAGCATTGCTTGTACTCACAACTGACTGAGGGGTTTCAAGTGCCCGTGAAGTTATTGGAGCTTCATGTCCTGAGCGACAGCCTAAAGGATTGACTCAACCAAGGCAGGTCATCGTCCCAATCGTTGGACCGGACAGTCGCATTGCTCAAGCGTGAGTGCGTTGCCTGTTCGGACATCGTAATTCAGGTGAGTACATCATGCGTTGATGCAGTGACTAGAACACGCTGTTAAGGTTGATCTCGCCGTTCCGCCAGCGGTGTGCACTGCTGATAGTTCTCATTGGGAGTGGAACCTAAGTTCACTGTTTGCCGTCTTTGGTATGGACCAACCAGTGTCTGTGCCAGGACAGTAGGAAGACTGCCAGACGTATTGACACACGATTAAGCTGTTAGGATCGACAACTGACCGCTGCTTGTATCCTCCAGGGCTGTACGCAACACCCAACTAGTCGAAACCAGAACCGAACTCGGTTGTGCTTCTCATATTTCGGCGCTGATGTCGATAGGCAGAAAAACACGTGGCACCCGTCAGTCCAACAAGGTCATTCTCACCCTTTGTTTTGCGGTCGGACAATGAGCTGCTGATATCCACGATAGGTCTATGTGCATGCGTTTAGTGCATGACAGTCGTCGTGCGGTTTAATAAACATCAATTCAAACCCGACCATTTCTCCGCGAAGGTAAACAAACTCTCACACAACCGTCTATTTGTTGTTTTGGCCTTGTTAGTACCCCTGAAAACCAAGTACATGCCGGTGCTGTCGGTTAAAATTTGCAATTTAATCCACAGACAGTTACGGTGCCACGAAGCACGGCGCTAAGGAGAAGCGGGTGTCCCGATTGGCCTAATATTATCAGATATCTTTTTCATAGTCGTCACTTTCAATACTGGCTTCGCCTGTTTATACGAAATCTTTATACGTAATCTGATGAATTTGCAAGCAGACGAGAGCAGACCGGCTTACAGTTTGCAATGTCACTCGGTCGGACGGCTATCTGATGGTGAAAGTTCATGCGAACTTCGCGTTTTCCGTTAACCACATGAAGACGGTACGTTGCGCACAGTCCAAAAGAATCTGTGGCCCGACATGTACAGTGATGGACGGAAAAGCAGATAGGTGTTTGCCTCAATTTACTAGTGATGAAGCTTGTGCACTTTGTGAACAAAATTAAATTGAACTCCCTGAGATTCCGCATCAGTCAGGTTACTAAAGACTGCCGCCATATTACATTTTAACTGACGCTACTGTGTAACCCTAGATCATAATGTATCGTCTGTTGTCATTTATTTTGGAAGAGTATAGTCACAAACATAAAAAGTGAATGCGAGCAACGAATGTGAAAGGGTAACAGGAGAATATGAGAGAATTCGAATTTATGCCACCAACAGTTCCATTCAGATGAGATGAACCCCAACGTATGTGAAAATTCGGTACGGAAACACGCGTCTAAGGACCAACAACCGAAGAAAGGACAAACGATGCTGAATGCTCTTCAAAGCGTGGTAAGTGCTAGCACAACCAAGACTCGCATACCAGGCACAAAGTGTCCGTCATACTGGGTCTAGTGTGAGATTAAATGGCAAAAATGTACATTCAACGCTATACGCCAGGTCTATCTTGGTTACCGCATAAATTGATTTATTTGATACCGTAGGTCAGCACCTCCAGCCGAATTCATGCAGCGGGGTATCAAGGCCTGGAATCAGAAATACTTGCCACATTAATGTTAAAAGCACACCGAGATCAGGCTCTGTACAGGACTCGATTCATAAGGCCAAGAGAGATAACAAGTCGTTTGATCGGTTTAAACTAGAGTATCTCATACCCATCGTGACGTAGTACGTCCAGTGACCGATATGTCCTACAAATGAGCTTTAAGGAGGTCCATTTCCTTCACTTCTATAAGCGTTTTTTCATTATTGCATCCAGTCTGTCTGTCCCCAGTTTACCTCGAAAAGCGCTTGGGGTGGGGTTCACAAAAAGGGTCTGTCTTCTCCTAACCTTACTGCATTCATGATTATTGACCTGCTGCTCTGTTCGCTGAGCTCTCTTTTAATCCATCTTCAATAGATTTCCAACGATTTTCACACAATTTCCCAAAAATGCGTGTCATCTATTGCGCCCAAAACTCGTACATTAGAATGTAAGGGTTTTGAGAAATGTTCAAAACAAACACTGAGGTAAACCTAACAAGCAGTAAGTTCTGTGCGCAACCTAATTCACCCGGCCTTCATTTTTGAAAGCATTATGGTCCTAGTTGGAACAACAAGTGCTTAGTCTGTAGAAGGTCAACAGTACAACAGTTGGAGGCTATAATTTTTTTGGAAGAAATATCGCTACACATTTGGTGGATGGCTTTGTTTTTTGAGAAAATGAGTTTGGTATGCTCTGAAATTTATTTGTTCAGTCTGAAGTGTTTTATTTCGTCAAATAACAAGAGGTGTTCCGCACTATAAACGTGGCGTATTATTAGTAGAGTTGATAAAGACTCTTCGACAGACCTTCTTGAAGCGCATTAGAAGGAGAATATCATAAACGACACATTTAGTTGAGATTCAGGTGATTCCCCCATGGAAACCAAACCGCCATACAAGTGTTGAATATTTCAATCTAGTTGGCTTCATGCGAGGCGATCAACCACCCAACTTCCGAACAGTTAGGATGCTCACCTTTCTAATTCGGGCAGAAAGGCGACACGTACGGATCAAATCCTCAGCTACCACAGCAAGAAGATGGATGCTGTGTTGTTGGGGGTTGAGTGAAGCAAAAAACCGTGTTTCAGTTACAGATAGAGGATCACTGTCGCAACACTTCTTGGCGCTCCCTTTATTATTCTAAGTCGCGAAGTCTAAACCATGCAAGTGAGTTTGTTTGTTTCAAGATCCAAAGACGATGTAGGTTGGTTCCGGGCGGTATTCGTAAACATTCCCTTTGATTTTTGTCTGCGGGTTCCTCTTAAGCGGGTTGTCACCAGATCGACAGCTAGTGCCAGTGAAACTATGCTTTGATTGGAATGTTTGACCTTTGAGTACCATAAGGATATGACTTCGTGGAGCGCAGAAAATGTTCGATCAAAATTTCAGTGATAATCCTGTAGGCAGGTCAATGATTGATATGCGGCAGGTAGTCCACTAATCCCAACACTGATGGAGGTTTTTGGGAAGGTTGTTGTACAAGCGCTAAGTTGGCGAAATTTCATTTTGCAGATATTAGGCAGTTGACGTGAATGTCGTGGATACAACAACACATGTACTGTTTACCAGGCAAGCTGCTAGGTTTCTACTGCACTTATCCTTTCGTTAGTCCATATGGGGCGGTGAATATCTTGCCAGGGGAAACACACAGTGGACCAGTTGAAAGGGAAAAGTTCGCTTCTGGAAAGGATTCTAAGCTCTAGTTGTTGCTGCATTTCCCTTGACAAGGTGAAGACTTGGTGATTCAAATGATGCAGTACATGGAACGCAAGTGATCCACGTATTTTTGCAGTTTGTGAATAACCGGGTGGTTACAGAACCCAAACATAAATTGGCTATAGTTATACAGCTATGCGCAACCGCAAACTTATTCAGACTGTGGGAGGTCGCTCTACAAAATTCTAAAAACGGTCCGTCTATTAGTCTATCAGTGCTGTCGTGGTTGCGGAGATACATTAGCGGAACAGATTGACGTCTATCAGATTGCGTGGCAGCATACATATTGTGGACAACCACGAAGCTGTCCTCAAAAGGTCGGGTAGACTGTTTACACAATCGGCTGCGGAGCCAGACGGCAGACTGTCCTTCGAATCTATCTGGATTCTCAGTTCTGACTTGTTGTTACGGCACGGCAACCGTCCACCAGTGAGCCCTTACTCTTTGGAGCACTAAATCTCCTTGCCATGGTCCTGATCGCGCCAAGCAACCTCTATCACCTTCCGTCTGTCTGCTGAACTCCATTGCAAACTTTGAAAAATACACTCATTTGCAAGTAAGTTTGGTTTTCACTGGAGACTCAACTGATTCTGGCGTTTACGGTAATAAAATATTTCGACACTCGAATGTCGTACCAACTGAAAGATGAGGCGACTATTGTGCAGTATATTCAGCTGAGGAATGTCATAAACGAGAGATTCAGTTGAGTTACCCGTGAAAACCAAATTGATTTGCAAATGAGTGCATTTGTCAAAATCAGTCTAATCTGGGTTCAAGTAGAACATAAGGTTGACAGAAACTCGGGGACTGCGCCTACCTGATAAGCCCCAAGAAGGACGAGGTCGGTCGTGGGCTGTCGAAGAGTGTTTCACAACCTTGTGAACAGTTTCATTCATTACCACCCCTTTTCTTGCATAGTTTGCACTTTTCAAACCAACTAGTTGAGGATAATAGAAGATGCAGTAACATCTTTGTCCATTGCTCTTCTATCTATAATGAAGCACTTGTAATAATCTTGGAAAAATTGTTCGTAAACGTTCCAACAACAAAGGGTGATGAGAAGTGCGGAAATAATTTCTGAGTTTGAGCCCGATCGAAAAGGCTTTTACTGATGGAATTGGAGAAGATAAGAGTGCAGCTGGTCACAGTAATGAGATTTGAACAACCAGAAGACGCTGATATGGTATCACCGGGATGATGAGCGTAAATTCTGCTAAGAATGTTGCAAAAGCGAGGCCTGACGATGAAATGCTATAGCCGTATCGATTTAGTATCACGTGTTTCGGCCAGATCCGTTAGTTGCAATTCTTAAGTGTTTTGATGCCAACTCGTAGTATAAAAACGTTCTTAAGAAGAGCGATTTGGATGGAACAGGTAAGTGGTTTTTTTCCAGCACAGAGGGAACGGACACGGCACAGCAACCGTAGTTGAAGTCCTCAGGGTGGAAAAATGTATCTCGTTTTCAGCCATAGTGTTTTGATTCGCTTAGTTTTTGGCGAGGATGTATGTGATCAACGGGCTCCACAGTATGTCCACACATGAACGTTCACAGATGGTTTTTTATGCAATATGGCTGAGACGTTCCGCTATGAACAAATATTATGAGATCAATGATTTTTTTGGCAATTAGACTATCTCCATAAAACGTGAAGATGGAACCAGTTTTACCCACCCACTACATTTCTGAGCTCGTATTAACACATAGAAAATCAATAGAATTACTCAATACCATTTGAGAGAAATCAGGAGACCTCGGTAATCGTTCATGTCTTTTTTAGTCTGGACTTTTGAAACTGGTATGCACAAAAGGTCGATCAAACAGTGCCTTTCATGGGTCAAAAAGTAAGTTCAACCAAAGCGAGTTTGGCTGAACGCCAGATGAAAAAGGCTTTGGCCCGTGCTTAGGACCCATTAGTGATAGAATTTAAATAGTTTCCTTCTCATACGCAACCGAGGCATATGAGTTTATTAGGAAGGTGCTAAACATATCTAGCACCGCAGGGAAGAAAATAGCGCTCAATTTAGTACACATTGACGTTCCGCTGCCTGTTGAAAAGATTAGAAACTGCGGATACAAGAGTACCTCCAAAGGGAAACAGACAAGAAAAAAATGTAAGAAGTAGTAAGAATAGTGTCAGGATAAATAACCCAGCAAGAGATGCTGATGAATCTTAGTTGATGGTCAGATTCGTAGAGTGTTGGGACACGTACCAGACAGGAAGGATCATGGAAATATGGCAGCTTTCAAGCCACGGCTAATATTCACACCACAATGTTTGATTGCTGAGCTGTGGGGAGAAGGTAAACTCTCTTGCGTGTAAGTGAAGCTGTTGGTCATGCGGAGAGTTGTTCTATGCAGTTTTATTTGAGGATTGGAGGTGAAGATAACGTTACCACAGAAGTGGTGTTAACGGACGACCCAAATAAATCCCCTGCCCATTGTATATTTTAAATTCCGGTGCCGTTGAAACAATGCTGAGAACGCCAAAGTATATTAATTGATACGGACCTGCCCATAAAGCTGTTCAGAGCTCTTGTACAGCCGATTGCCGGTTTTGCAATATTTGTTCTCATCAGGTTCACCGGATTTTCGATCATTTCGTACTCGAGCATGAAATCGAACGTATGTGAAATCATTCACTCATTCAAAAGGAGACTGAACTGCGAATATCACATTGAACTAAAGTACAAAGCCGAATCAGAGCAAAATTCATGTGACTCTCATTAAAACTCCAATGTTCTATCCTTGACTAACTCGCGAAGATCACCAAAAAGTTTGTGGGCAATACCAAAGCAGAACCTTTGACTAAATCCTTTTAGACATGAAGAATTGGATCACATATCGATCCTAATTAGTGTTTTTTCCCAGAACATTTTTGTTGTGATATTCATACATGTACAATTTATAAAATGTTCTAAGCGAAGGCAGGGAAAATCCAATTAATCTGTTATTATAAGACCTTGTTGATTGATCTTCCGTCTGCCTTAAAATTTGACCAGTCTACTCATCTGAACTGATGCGGCACTCGTGTGAAAACCAAAACTTTGTGTAACAATCAATCTAACGATTATTTTCCAGGCTCTTCATAGAAGTGGCACAGTCTACCAATGTGTGAAGACTTTCCGCCTCACTGAATGGTCTCCGTATCACAAGCGAAGCGAGCAAGCCGAATTCGATCTATAGTCAAACGCAAAATTCTTAGTTATTCAACGCTTTAAGGCAAAGTTGTCTGTCCAGCAGAAAGTGCTAGCACAAAAGCCGTGCGGATTCGACGGCAGCGAGTAGTTTACTCTACTCACAACAGAATATGGGATATGTTTGACAAAAATGTGAGCTAACTGATTCAGACTTGCCCTGAAGTCATTTTTAGGGGATACTCTTAGTTCGTCACCACTTCTGGCTTGCTGTTGTCCGGACTTACATATCAGAGCTATTTTTAATCTTAGCATCACGTCATGCATATTCACTAGTCGATGCGAAAAAGCCAAACATACGTCAAACTTTGGTTACCATTGGAGATCCAGAGTGTTCAATTCGTCAACACCAACCTGCTCGCACACAAAAGTTGTTCCTCACCGATACTTGGTTATGCTGACAAGTACAAAGACCTGATTTTTTTGTCTCACCGAAAATGGTAAATATGTGTCGAGGCAGGGTTCAAATAAACAAGACTTCACCAAAACATGCAGGAAAAACGCATTGTGTTGTGCAGCTGTTACGGCACCATGTACGAATTTCGGACAAAGGTATCAAACATTCTATCTATCAGAACTTCCAAGGGACGGTAACAGTCTGGGTGGACGGGGGGAGGGCATATGTAACCATCACAAGGAGACTTCATCAATGTCCTTATTGAAGATAATTCCACAATTTCGCGTGACCGAACTCGAGCAGAATTTACTCGAATAGCTATAGTTTGTTTGGGAAATCCACACCAAAAAGTCCGTTCACAACTATATTTCAGGTGTTTAGATAGAAAGGAGAAGTACAGTTTCTGTAGAAATAAAGATGACTTGTTGAGAAAGTGAAACTAGTGAGAGTTCTGAAGACCAGAACACACACTTCCATCAGTAAAAGACGTTTTCTTCATTTGAGCGCTCCACTGAACTCCTTCTGCGACCGCGTTACACCAGACAGCCCGCACTTTTAAATTAGGGACCTTGAAGTATACCACACAGTGAGCCTACCATCAGTCTTTCCAAAACGTACGAAGCCCCTATGCACGGTCATATCAAAGCAGCATACCAAGCCCATACAGTTTGAAGTGGAATGCGACTCTTGTCGTAACCAAACGTGAACGCTTATTAGCTGTTTCAGTGTGCAAGTGTTAAGATGTCCAGTGTGGTTTAGACATAGTAACTGTGTAGTTCTAATAACGAGTGAGTCGATGGACTGAACTAGCGCTTACGGAAAGAACGATCTAAAAGACTTGCACGGAAGCACCAGTGATTTATCCAAGGTGAGTTTAGTTCCACTGGAAGTCTGAATCTGCGAGACTCTGGCATCACACTGCCAGACGACAGTAAGAGTGGCTGTCACACAGTTGGCATACGGTCATATGCATGGCGGAGAAGTAGCATTCCTCAGGAAGGAAACTTCGGTACCCAACGAAACTAGGGGAAGCTGGCAGACACGCCATCGATTTGATAAAAATCAGCCAACAGTGGCGCTCATTGTTATGATATCATGCCTGGATCAGCTGGCGGATTTCAACAAACCTGTGGCTTTGCCTTTCCACTTTAAATCTTCGGGTTTACATCAAAACCAGCGCCTCACATTCGGCTCCGTTCAAACCGCCTGGGGTTTATGCACTGAGCACTGATACCTGGTGGATCAACAGATGCTGGAATGCAGATCGGTTCAGGATGGCCGCTAATCAACTACTTATTGAGAAAGTCTACCAGTTTGTGAGGTATAAGGTGAATTAAACGAAAAATGACAAAGAGATCGTCACTGTTCGCGATTTTGAGCCTGTGATACACCAATGGTCTTTCATAGCCAGTCTGAAAGCAGTGAGCTCCCATTTTCAACAGTCTAGTGGTGTATACTTTCTCGTTTCCACGTTGATAGCTACCATCTGCTTATTCTACTCAGATCCAGTCGAAGGACCTGCGGATTTGCTTGGGCTGCATTTGTCCGACGTACCCCCAGCAGACACAAGTCCGCATCTTTACCAGTGCAGAAGAAGCAGTGCTCGGCACAGTTATCACTCAATAGCCTGCCAGCGCAAAAGAGACCTCGTAAGTATTGATTGTCTAACATCAACAGTGATTGGATTTCGTAGTCCCAACGGGGCGGTGAGCAGTGTTACGGTGACCTGTTTTTACATAGCCAGACTACCGTCAAGCCTCCTCGGTGGATGCTGGAAAGTCATCCCAAACTGGAAAATACGTTGTCCGCGATGCTTGTACGAGAGTTTGGCTAAACCAGGGCGGTCCGGAGGGCATCGTCAATAACGGATTTGAACAGGAAAGCAGAGGTAAGACACTTTGCGCACCTTAGTCGACTTTGGAAAACATTGAGTCGACTTTCTGTAGAGTCATAAACAGCCAGCCCTACAGTTCCCAGCCCTACAGTTTTCCAAATGATAGTTTCAAGTTTTACAGTCATTGCACTTTTCAAATGGGTTCTTATGGCGCTGTTCTATTCATTGGATCGAAAGTAAGGTGGTTTTTAAGGAGTTCGACCATTGTTGTTTTTCTCCACTGTGGGATGTTTACTGGTGGACTTATCTTGGATGGTCGCCTTAACCTGATTGCAACTATTGTTCGCAGAAATGCATATTTGTTTCAACGCATCCCATTGAGTGATATAAGTCCAGCTAAAATTTTCAATAGAAACCCTATCCTGTACTGAAATGATGGTAAGATGGCCAACCTCAGTACAATGCTAGCCCATGAACCTCGGGTGGCAAGTAGCGCGGTGTCCCTTATGGAGTCAAAAATTGAGTTCCATCAAATCCAATCAGTGAATCAGCTTAAAAGCCGCTCACCGTCACCGAGCTTCCTTGTATCATTGCTGCCACAAATTACGAAATTCCTATCAAGCAAGTACAGGTGGTCACCACGTGCAATTAGATCTCCAGCTGGTATGCTCACCTCAAATCTATATGCATGGTGAGCAGTTTCAAGAAGTGGACAGATCAGATCCTCAAAAACCGAAACGACGAATGTGCATCGTTTGCATTTTCTGATTCTCGCTGTTCTGGAATACCCATCCAATCCTACGGTTCCTACTCTACTGTTACTGGAAATCCATTAACTTAGCGCAGTTTTTTCCACACTCTGATTGAGCATAATTCAGCAGCCGCTACGCCTGATGATGCAGTCATTTAATCTCCAGAAGAGCATAGGCGACACATGTTTGTCGAATCCGACGTTTACCATTTTAGAATGTACATTTTACACAAGTGTCTGTCAGGGATAATGTACATCGATATTCGTACTCTCTAGAGTGTTGAATGATGCTTCATTTTGTCTCACCTGCAAGTAAGATTGGGGCTTTAAAAAGGGGTGAAAAATATTCCAACCGACATGAGCTGACGGAGACGATCAATGAAGCGACATTCAGAATCATCCTCAAAAAAATTCTGAATAACTGTGATGCCCAAGGTTTTGAAGATCCTTGTTACTTGTTAAGTGAGCATGCGTGAACTAAGAGGAAGTAAGGACTGGTAAGATACTCCTTGCTTATCCATACTGAAGAAGGAACTCTCGAGGCAGTCGAAGATTCCGACTACATGCTTTAATCCGCAGGTCGATGGAGTAATCCGAAAGATATTCCAGAAAATGGGGGCAATGATTGAAATTCAAGCCCAGCTGCACCTAGATCAGGGTTTTATGCCCATGATACCTAGGACACTCTCATTAGATCCGTCCAAAAGGATTGAGTGGGGTGTGTACACAGCAGTGATGGATGATTTGTAGTCGTCGTAGTTCAACACCCTCCGATAAGACAAAGCACTGTATCCCAACTCTGTGATAACGCCTGACATCTCCTTTGCCCTTCACTTGAGTGGGAACGCCTCTTCTACAGAAAACTGAATAGGAGTGTAAAGATTCCGGTGAGTCGTAAACTCGCAGACATTTCGAGAAAGGCCAGAGACGGCGTTTCATTATCTTTGATATCACATATTACCAATTAAACGTAGGCAGCAGTGTCTTCAACATACTGATAGATTTTTCACTTATTGTATAAAATGAAATAATGTCTCGCCCTGATTTAAAATGGAGCATTTGACTGTTACTTAAACACGCTTTTAATTAGAAACCTTATGAAATGGGTGTCCTTCACCTACCGGTCCCTGACAAGATCAGAAACACGTTGGCTAGTCCACTGCTTCCTTTAAAGTGACGCTGACAACCCCTCTCTAAGATGTGCAAATTACCCAAATCCTTGCTACACCAAACTTATCGATGCTTCCTAATGAATGCTTCTCAGGCCTGAGAATCACCCATCAAACGACCAACAAAGCGGTATCTGGTTGAGTTCTCGTGCAAATTTTGCTCTCGAATTACATTTTATGAAACATGGATCTATTTTTTTGGCCTTTTACCTCAAAGCATCAGACCATATGGAGGCCCTTTTTCTTCTGAGAAAGTTACAGGAAGTGACGGCTCCCCATTGTCAAAGGTGTTGTGCTGTTAGGTTCTGTCCAGCTATTTTGAGTAAGCTTTTGGAAGACAGGGGCATACAAGGGCTTTATGAGACTCGCCTCACAGCCCGTCTTTGTCCCCTGTTTTTGTTTGTTTTTGGCAGCAAACTTTCTCAATGTTTGCTCTGTGGCAGTACGGAAAAAAGTTTCCACGGTAAGATAGCTATATTTGATGGTGTCGTGGATGATGAATCTCCCTAAAGGACAGAATCCATTAATCCATCAATGATATGAATGTGGGTACTCGCAAAAACGGAAGTTGAAAAAAACGTAAGAATTCGGCATTCATAAGTAAGTGCTTTTTGGAAATCACATTTGATGAGGCTCCTCGGGAGACTCAAACAATGAATAAATGCAAAACACAATGGGTATAAAATGATTCTTTTCAACCTAGTGCGTCTACATTTACGTATATTGCATGTAGCGTTCCTGGACATGACTGAACTTAAACGGGAAACTCGGTTTAGAAAGCGTCGCTACTAATGACACACTTCTTTTCGAATGAGTTGATTTGCTTTGAAAACACTTTGAACGCTATATGCCTATTTGAGCGGTGAGTTGCTGTCAATTCCCTTCGGTTCAATAAAATTTACCCAACTAATTCGGGTCTAAACCATCCCCATGCCTCGATATTTCCTCCCTTACACAACCATAAAATCCGCTTGCTTAAATTCCCAAACGAAAGTACCTCGGATCAACCGGTCGATAACTCAATTAGCATATACTCCACACGTTAGAATTGCTTTTAAAATCATTGAGCATGATAATCCCATAAGGCCAGTTTTTTTCCGTTTTCGGAATGTAATTCATCAGCAGTGCATAAAAATCCCGTTGGAAAATTTATTCATTTCCTGCCCAGAATTTCGGTTCACGATTATTCAGGAACACGTGAAACCAAAAGGATTGTAATCGGATTGGAGTGGATACGGAGGCTGAGCTGTCACACTCAACGCTGTTGGACGTTCTGCTCACCAAAAAACGTAGGTGGAATAAATACGCATAGCGAAGCTGCTGAAAAACGTCAGGGTTTCTGGTAAAAAAAAATCCATCGAAATAAATCAATATTCCGCAAGTAAAGCCTGGCGGTTTTCATCACTGTGATTGATAGCCAGCTTTGCTAGATTTATTAATTTTTATACTAGAAATTACCATTCAAGTTACACGCGTCTATAAATAATTACGTAGAATATCGTCATTAGTAAATAGAACAAACTAATGATTCATCATGTGAGCTGCACCTGGCGTTCATTCTGCACGACACCATCAGTTTTACTGGAGTGGAACAACAGAATCGTTTATTTACCCGGGAATACTTGAATCCACGTGCCACTGAGCGGCAATATCAATCTTATTTGTCAGGCACATGTCTTTGAACTTCCATGAGAGTAACGATCAAGTGTGATGATGGAACTGAAAGTGTCCAGCTGGAGAGTTTTGGCTTGCAGTTTGACCTCGCGTTCACAGTGTATACATCATTCCCACCGGCTTGGTTCTCACGAGATCAGCTGTCATATGATCCGTCAGAACAACAGTCAAGGAAAACAATATTTCTTGTCTGTGAGAAATACACTCATTTGTAAATCAGTTTGGTTTTCACGAGTTTTCAGCAACCATGTGAGTAGTTTCCTTCATGAAAATATACTGCAATATTTCGAATATCATGCCAAGTGAAACACGACGCGACCATTGTGCAGCACTTTCAGTTGTAGAATGACATAAACGAGAGATTCAGTTGAGTCTCTCGTGATAACCAAATTGATTTGCAAGTGAGTGTACTTTCGAAATCAGTCTAATTTGGGTCCAAGTAGAACATAAGATTGACGGAAACTCGGGGACTGTGACTACCTGATGAGCCCTAAGAAGGGCGAAACCGGTCATGGACTGTCGCGGAGTGTTCATCAACCTTGTGAGTAGTCTCCTTCATGAAAATATTTCGTGTCATTGTGTACGTTCGTTAGACTGAGTGCTGGTCAGCTGTCAGCTCAGCGTGGAGGACAGATACCCAAGAATTAGAAACACAAGCCACACGATAAAGTAGTCGGTGATGGACAGCCCAAAACACGCTGAGGGATGAATGTGACGGAGCTGGTAGTCTGTCCAAATTTCATTGCTGTTTGACGCTGTACACGGTTTGACAAAACTACCGCCTTCTCATCACAAATGTTTAACTTCGACTACTGGTCATCCCTGCACTTTAGTCAAGTTGACTCGGTTTTATTGAACGTCACCCTAGACGATGGATGAATAACACTTCGGATGGTGGTTTGAGTCACTTTTGAAACGTCTTGCTCGATGATCCACTGATACTACTTTGCGAGCGGAAGCCGAACAGTGTGAACGCTTTTGTACTCAGAGGTTGTATCTGAACATTCAGTTGTCACAAACAGAAATTTTCATTTTGACTGACCCTGGTGGACATTATCAGGTCCTAAATGACCAGAAATGACACGGATGTTCCACTACGTGAGACGAATTCGAGCCTGGCTTCACAACACTTGGTCAGCTACTAACCCGTTTATCAGATTAACAAAAGCTACTGTCTAATTTGTGCAAGCGACGAAGTCTGTTTGTGTTACAACGTGTCAACCTAATTATTGTGGATAAAGTCGGGTCAAAAAACACACTACTCAAACTACTCGCAAATGGGGGATTTATATGGAATTCAATTGAAACGCGTTTGCGAAGGAGTATATTTTTTCAAAAATTCCTTAGTTTATTTCGCTCGATTTTGAGGTTTGTTAGGTTGCCTTTGGTTTTGATACGGAAGTCTCGAAAACCGTTAGACCAATCAACTTTTGTCACTGCGTACTCCGGAAAGTACTTCATTGAATCGTGCTCACAAGTACTCGATATGCGCGTCTTTGGGAATTTGAGAATTGCAAATAAGTATTGATCACCGTGTGTCTAATTAATACAGCAGTAAGGAGGTTTTACCTCAATGGCCTTGGATATATATGAGTTACGCATTTAGGGCAACCCAAGAACGGACGGTTTTCGAGAAATACACTCATTTGCAAATCAATTTAGTTTTCACGAGAGGCTCATCTGAATCTGTCATTTATGATATTCCAAAACTAAATGTTCTGCCCACAGGCCACCTCATGTTTCGGTTGGCACGATATTCGAGATATCGCAGTATATTTTCATGAAGGAAACTACCCACAAGATTGCTATCGAAGAGTTTTCAGCAACCTCGTGAGTAGTTCCCTCCATGAAAAACAGATGATTTTATTCATCTGGAATAAGGTCACATGCTACAGCGCTGTCCAAAAAAGTGAAGAATTATTCTAATGTTATAGGAATGCATATTTATGCAATGTATGCAATGTATGGGGAAGTTGAGTCATCTCTTTCTTCACCCGGCAAAGATCTATCCGTTTTCAGTGTCCATAATCAGTTTTTACTCCAGTAGACCAAATTGGAGAAAGGATCAGGCGAGATGATGCTGATCATTTCCAACCTCATGAACTAAGAATGCAATATACTCTAGTAATGTAAGCCGAATGTGTGATGTTCCGTCGATGACCTTGAAGGGAATCACCCCTGAGGAGAAAAGAAGTCTCAAGTAAGCAGTCCCCACGGTATTTCTGGAAGACTTTCTATAGCTGTCGGGATCATCATCGCCTTCTCTGAATAACTCACAAGTTTGTTCTCCAAGGAAAAATTTTAACTCCAAAGAAATCTATGAATTCATAAATGAAACAGAAAAAAATCATTCGCGTCCAAATCGCAGTCTGCAGAGACGTAGGTCCTGGACACTAGTCCAAAGGCTGATATTTTCTAGACTGTTTGATGCCTGATTAAACTAGCTGATGAAATTCACGTTCGTTTCTAGAATCCTTAATTACTACTCGAGTTTTGGCTTGCTTCTCAGTTTGACAATGTTCAGGATGCTACCACTGTTTCTGGGTTTGTGACTCAGTTATCACAAAATACTTATATGTCGCTCGCTGGTTTCAATAACTGATACCTTAGAGACAATCCACGTTCGCATATCTCGTGTGAACACTCTCCATTCTCTCCTATGAGAGATATGATGGTTGTCATATGAGAGCTATCTAAACGTGGATTCTTAGAACTGGAAAACCACCCACAAATAAAGACATTGTCACCATTCATGAACAGCACGAGAGTAGCAAATACCAGTTCAGTAATATGGAAACGACACTATTACAATCTGAACATAAAGAAAAAGAACAAGGAATCGGCGCAAAACATCTTTGCTTTTTTAAAAAAGGCTAGGAATAATAGCTTAAACTGTAATCTTAGGTAGAAAATCAACTGAGCGTTATACCGCAGTAAGATGGCCTCAGTGAGTTTCATCTAGCCTTGTTTACCAGAAAAAGCTGACGCGAACCCAATCACCCTTGTAGTCTGGTCTTAAAAGTGCACCGAATTCCGCATCGGAATGGGTCACCTGCAAGCAGAATGACGTAAACCGCCACAAGGAGAGTACAAAGATCGCTTTTAGACCCAGTTTACTGTGGGTTTATATTTCATCTTGTCATGTCTTGGACTGTTCCCTGCGAACTTTCCTCGGCAAAGATTTCAACCAAAAATAGGCGTATTCACATGTAGGTGTTGGTTGTACATTCATTCGTGGGCCTTAAAAATCCCAAAACACTGAAACAATCCAGCTCTTGTAATTCGAACCATTTCACCGAGGACACATTGTCCTGGAAAATAATTGGGCAAATTCTCAACGATTGGGTTGAAACCTACTTAGTTGCACCTCCCAAAAAGAGCTCATTCTCAAGTGACTCCATCCTTGGTGCGAGCAGATGATACAACTTTGATCTTATGCTTTAAACAACGTATCGTATTTTCCCCTTCCCCATTCAAATTATCGCCATTTTGAGCAGTTTCAATGAATCATTGGTTATCTCACTGGTGTGAGCTGGTCTATTGGTATCATGAGTTAATTGGAACACTGAAAATCCAACTAGAGTTGAAAGAAATCCAGTGTTACAGGGGGGGCTAAAAGCCGTCTCACGAAGGATACAGCAAAATGAAAGGTGCAGAGTGGTGGAGGGAGGGGGGGGGGGGGGTAAAAGCCGTCTCACGAAGGATACTGCATAATGAACGATGCGCTGGTAAATATTTTTTAAAAAGTAATCTATTTTTGGATTTGTTTGTGAGTTCGATTTGTCACAAGTGCCTGTCGAAGTAGGCGAACCAGGTCTCACGTGATTTGCGAACTTCGTTCGATATTGGGTATTAGGTACAATCATGTTTGTCCCATAGCAAATAAAAACCAATTCAGTCATCTTAGAGAAAATTTGTTAGTTTTGAAGGGAAGGTTGATCCATTCCAAATAATATTCTGATCACTGGTGGATCAGCTACAAAGACGAGACTCCAGTTGGAGGTTATCGTCTAAACCCAACTTTTCATTATGTACAATTTCATTGTATGCAACGAACTCAGCGCACCTCAAGTTTCTATTAAATGCAAGTGATTCCAAGCGGATCAAATAGGTCATATATTTTGACAAAACTTATTCTAACTTTGAGGAGCAAGCACTGATCTAAAAAACAGCCGGTTGGATGTCAATAGCTAACGTGTTTGGCGTTTGTTATTAACTGGCTGAGTACGAACAGTTCCATATATATATACATATATATATATATAATCAGGGGTAGTGTTTAAAAAAACGCATTGATTAAGTCCGATGTCATAGGTTCAACAGTTTCACTGAAACAAGCGGTCATATCGACGAATTTTACTAATTTTTCTACCAAACTGTATGATCGGACATGATTGATTTACGTTCGGTGCAGCTGACAAGCTGCAGGTCACGTGCACTACCCAAAAATTTGCGATTGTATTTTTACCTTCTAGATAGCTTGAATAAAAACATTTTTGTTTAGCAGCTTGAGAACCGTGGCAGCACGGCGAGTGCCGTAAACTGTTCAACAGAACGTGATATGGCAGTTGCAGTGAGGGGTGGTACGAAAGTTTCCATATGGTTGAACCAGTGTGATAGTCCTCATCTGATAATGCTGACTTTGGGACTTGTTCTCGTCTCCGGTTCGCACCCACTGAACCATTCTACGTTTCGTCCACCTTTGATTGTGTCCGCTGGTCCGTTCCTTTGTTGCTTCGTACCGCTTTATATATCAGGTTGAGTAAGTTTGTTGTGAATTGCCACGCACGCAAGCAGTTCCCATATTCCATTTGTACCTCCACGGGCGAAATTATTTATAGTTTCCATTCAGAATAGGCGACCTAGATGAATGGACGTCAGAGGCAGTGGATCATGCATTCATACGGTGGTCTGATTTGCTTCTGTTTGTGCAGATAGTAGGGAGATGTGGTCTTCGTTTCACTTGCTGAAGCTAACCTGGTAGATGCGATCGTCTCTCTCCTTGACTTGGTTCTTCAGTCTCGAAATCATTCTTAAGTCAGTGTTAACACGATTCCACGTAACAGCTCTACCAGCTTGTGGTTAGTTCTTCTGTCTTCTACGGGTAGCACTTATTTCGCCGCTGATAAACTTGATCCTGTCAACGGATATCCCGCCAGGTGCGTGGTCCCCATTTGGCTCCTGGTTAAGCAAGCAGGTCGAGAGGGACGTGATTAGTTGTCCAAGTTGATGAAGTTTGATTTCTATCGAACTTCCTATCGTCGTCAGCGCCCTGCGTAATTCGGCATTGTATACCAGCGTCGGGGACTACTACCTCAGGCC